TGTACTATATATAAAAGTTTTAATTAAAAAACATCTGATAAAAAAAAGAAAGTATACGGTAAGTCAAGTGGACACACATTTTCATGTGTTGCCATTGTACTCAATAGGCTCTCTAAACGCATTGATACATGAAAAAATATATTAACTTTTTCAGTTAATACATCTTTTAGAAATGTGAACTAGCATAATTTAGATAGCTAAGGAGAATAAAAGATAAAGCAGGTAATATATGCTGATTCAGATTAACTAAGGGTTAAAAAGGGGTTAAATAAGAATACATGTAAGGTGTTTTTAAGGGGACCTTTAGGGTTTCTTTACTTGGTCATATGCAGATCAAAAGGTAACACCTTTAAACTATAAATAAATGAAATAGTAAATACAATGTAACAATACATTGCTATACTGTTTTACTTGATAAAACTTACAGACTATTGCACTACAATTTTACACAGGAACGGCTGCATTTTGACAGCAGCTCCTGCCATGTAATACATGGCAATAACAAACTGTCATTTAACAGCTGGTAATTGCGGCAGGAAAGCTGCAGCAGGAGATAAAAGGAGCTACACCCAAGAAACTGTGTTAATATTTTCTAAGATACATCAACTATGTTTAAAATCCTTAAATGGTTAAAACACTAACTTCATGCTATTTAAAAGAGAATTATATCAATATAATATTATTTGGGTATTAACCCACTTAGGCCTTGTTCATACCAAGCGCATTCCAGGAGCAGAGCAGTTACAGACCGGATCAAAACTGCGCCAATGTATTCCAATGGTATTTTGGGCTCTAGTTCACACCGCAGCGTTCAGTTCCTGCTATGGAACGCATGCAAACGCATCAAAAATGCATGTAAACACCCTGAAACGCACTAAAAGCCCATTCTAAACTAATAAATAAAATATTTATTTTTTTACCAAAAATGGCCCAGAACGCATCAAAACGCGGCAAAACCCACTGCACTGCGTGCAGATCTGGTCTGTATTTGGTGTGAACAAGCCCTTAAAGTGCTGGAATCTACATTACTGCAGTAATTCTCAACATTGAATATGCAGAACAAAAAAAAAAACAGCTAAAACACCACAGCAGCATTAAAAAAAAAATAGCAGTCATGTTTTACATATATACAGTGCTTTACTGCACTTATCCACCTCACTAATTTTGTCTGTGACCTGGTGATCCTGTAACACACTTGCTGTTAAAGCTGGAAAACCTTCTTTGCAGCCTCTCACACATGCACACAAGCCCTGACGAAAAAATGCCAGTACATATAAGTGTCTCACAGTCACAATTCAGACCTGCTTTAAAAGTATGAATGTGATTTGTGATGGAGGAAGCAGAGATAAGGGAAGCTTCCGAAGGTACACTCCTGCTGTCCCTCTGTGGAGCGGAGTGCTTGTTCTGCAGGCTATTAAACAGAACACTCTGACATAAACAGAGTCACTGTGTTGGCTGAACAGTATTAATAGCTTACTGAATGCTTTCACTTGTTGCCTGCAACGTTTTTTTTTTAAGATTCCATATATAATAATGATAATGTCTTGACAGAAATACTGAATCTAATTTGCTTGCCATAATGCCTAGGAGTGAAAATCTAATGAAAAAAAAATATTGTCAAATGACTAGTTTTTACCTATAGAAATA